TTTGCCCCCCCTTTTGCTGCTCTGATCATCCTTGCTCCTGTCGGGGATCCCCGTCATCTGCAGCTTTGATCCCCCTGCCTCCTCCAGTGTTTACTATACTTTCGTTTGTGAATGAACACGGAGCCTCTGTATAGATTGCTTCCTAGTCATTCATTCTGTAGCAGCTGAGACTGCAGAGAAAGGATTGTGGATTTTTTAATAATGTAAAATAATTTAAAATTAAAAAAAGCTATTAAAAAAAGCAGAATTAAAGGCTCGTTCACATGGGTACCCTGGCCACATGAATGGGTGGTTTGTTCATGTGGCTGGAGCTGTATTTGGGATCATAAACCTGCACCCACCCAGACTGGGGAAGGGTTGGGGTGGCTGTCAGGTAGGCTGTATGGGGCCCCATGATTTCTCACAGCAGCCCTGCATTTCCTACTACACAGCCATTCATATCTATGGGAGACTTTGCTAATCCCAATAGATAAATGATGTTTCTGTATAGATATAATAACTGCACTTAGCACGGCGCACTTTCCTCTGTGTGTAATTTGTATAGGCTGTAGTAAATGTTTATACTAATACAAGGCTGAGCAAGTCTGACTAGGCCACAACAATATGCTAGTCCACAAATGCCAACAGACTTGGTTATGGTAGCAAACAGTGAGTTATTTATGTTTTGCCATTATTAAAAATAGATTACTCAACAATATTAGGCTCCATGCTGGTTAACGGTTCTCCTTTTGAAAAGAAATCCCCCTTAGCCCTTACAGATAGCACAGGAGGCTAAAACCGTCAGGTAAATGAGGCCCTTCCTGGAGGGTGGGGAATTCCAGAGTAGTGCATTACACTAGGTTCACATCTGTGTGGGTGGTGCCGCTGCGGATCCGCACGAAAATCCGTGCAGCAGCACCACCCGCATAGAGAAATGCGGACCCGTGGGCGGGTGCAGGGGCGGACTGACCATTTGGAAACTCGGGCACTGACCGAGGGCCCGGGGTCAGTAGGGGGCCCCATGATGCCCCTGGTACCTTTTTCATAGGCTTTTTTGAGTTTGGGCAAGGACACAGGGGCCCCATGATCCCCTATTGCCCGGGGGCCCCATGAGTTGTCAGTCTGCCCCTGGGCGGGTGCCATTAGTTCTAATGGCACGCCGCCTCACTGGAAAACACAACCGTACTGGGAACCGAGGTTCCCGTGCGTGCTGTGTTTTCCGAAGAAGTGCGGGACTTCTTCCCTGCGTGCAACGGGCACGGGAGTCCATTGAAATGAACAGGCTCTCGTGCACTTGCAAAACGCGGCTCTCATGGCCGCATATATGTGAACCGGGGGTGAGGGACTAGGGAGAGAGACTGTTTTTTTTTTTTTTAACAGTTTCCGTAATCAGAGAATGTTTTATTGAGAAAATTAATAAACTCAGCTGGGAAATACTCCAGAGTAGATTTGAAGTCATTGAGATTTTCACAGTTTTGTACATTATAGGATCAATTTATCAATGACATGCTTTATCAATATCCATTAATCACAAATCTTTGTAAATGAAATATGTGTGGATCATGGGTGAAAAAGTGGATAAAAAGACCCATATAAATAAGAACGCAACCGGCATAAGAAACTACAAAACCAAGGCATATTTGTACTCAAAATTAGGGACTCTTGAGTCTCCCAGAATTGACTGTCATTTGGATCAACTAGTTAGATTTATTTAATAAGTCTGTAAGCAGGTTGGGTACTGCTTAGGGAAGTCAGTGATTGGCCCAGGCTGGGTAGGGAAAGTGTTAATCGGCCTATCCCAGGCTTTTTGGACTTCAGCCATCCCACCTGTGGTATAAATTGGGGGAAGGCTGAGGTCTGGGGGTCTGCTGCAGTTTTTTCCCACCAAGACGAGGACTGTTGTGTCCTGGTTTCCACCAAAACCAAGGGTGCTAGAGTACTACCAGGAATGGACTTTTCCACATGGTCTCTGACCTTTAGAAAGTATGCCTGGGTTGCCAATCAGTTGAGTTAGTCTGGGAGAACTGTATTGCACTTTATCTTGTTGCACTAAAAGACTTTCAGTAAAGCCTGTTAAACTTTCCTCGAGCCTGGTCTGAAGTTATTAAAGGGGTGCATGTTGGTTCTGGCATATTCAAAAGAACCTGAGCCTGGAAAGCGCAAGAGCTGTATGAAGAACATCACACTACAATGTCAATGCAGAATGTTAAAGAAGAGCAAGACCTTCACTAAGAGTAACTAAGTATATAATCATGACACAAGGCAACCAGTTGTAGGCGTGGTACCTGGGCAAGGTAAGGTGTTCTCTGGTAGCAAGGGGGTTTCTGCTTTTGGTCTTCTCCCTAGTGGTCCATCTTCCATAGCAACCTGGAACAGACCAGCTCCACGGAGCCTAGCCGCATGGTAAGAATGAGTAATGCAGGACATGCACGATATCTGGGCTATGTGTCCAGCAGGATCTCATTCTGTTACTAGGAGTGAGGTAACAGAGGTACAATGGCTGGTGGAGGTGGCGCAGTCCGAATGCAGGAAGTAGAAGTCGCCATGTGTAGAGTGTTGGGACACCATTTAACAGGGAAACTCTACTTCATTGCTACACACAGTGAAAGCTCACCTCTATGTCGGGAAACTGCCTTAATATTTGACTTTATACATGCCCACAGTTACAACCTGGTCAAGGGCATTGCTGAGGGCGCCCTCCGGCAAAAGTACTCGCAGGTGCATGGGCACAATGGGCACTGTCCACAACCCTAAACGCAAGGTGCAAAGGGTATTTAACACTTTCCTGCCTGGCCTATAGCAGATTGACGGCCGGGCGGGACACTCGCCATTGTGACTGGGCGTCATATGACGTGCTGGCAAAACGAGCTGCTCATGTGGCCACGGGGCCACGCAGTGGAGCGATCTGTCACAGGCTGTGTCCACGGGACACATCCGATGACATATCACTACACCGGCCCATTGCCAGTGTCATGTGACCGGTGTGACCAATCACAGCAGATCACATGTCATTTGTATACAATGGATGGCTTCCTCTCATGCCATCCATTGTATACAATTATGTTGTTAGCTGTGACTGGTCAAGGCAGTCACATGATACAGACAGGGCCAATCACAGCCCATCTTTATCATGTGATCAGCTTTGCCCAATCACAGCTAATCACAACAAAAGACTGAATGAATCTGTTTCATTCAGTAACAATGATTGCAAATATCAATTATATATATTGGTATTAGCAATCATAGTGTGTTAAAAAAAATCCTGATCACTTGCCCAGAGTAGTTCAATGTTACTATTGTATTGCTTTGGTCACAGTGTGCTGAAAAAAAAAATAGTAAAAAAAAAAGAAAAAATTTAATAAAAAATAAAAAAAAAACATTTGAAAAAAAAATACAAATTCAATTATTATTATTATTTTCACCAAATAAATGTAGCAGAATACATTTTGACCTAAATTTATGAAGAAATGTTATTTATTTGCAAAATTTTTATTTTTTTTTCAAAAGTTTCAGGTGTTTTTTTGTTTTATTTAGCAAAGAATAAAAAACTCAGTGGTGATGAAATACCACCAAAAGAAAGCTCTATTTGTGTGAAAAAAATTATAAACATTTCATATGGGTACAGGGTTGCATGACTGCGCAATTGTCATTCAAAGTGCGACAGCGCTGAAAGCTGAAAATTGGCCTGGACAGCAAGGGGGTATAAATGCCCGGTATTGAAGTGGTTAAGTCAAAACTTTCATTGTTGTCACTGCTCCACCAAATTAGATAGATAATACTCTACATTTATTAAACAAAACTCACAGACCAGATGATTTAGAATGAAACACAAAAAAAGAAGGCTTTTTTTCACTCTGAAAAGCTTATTTAATAAAGAAGCTGCAAATTGAATTAGGTTTGTAAGGTTTTAGTTTGAACCATTTTTTTTGTTTTGTGTTGGCGTTGTGATAAGGCAGCCCAAATGCACAGCAATGTATGACAAATTGGAAAGGAACCTATTTTTTAACACAGTGCACCACAACCCAAGCAGATTGTTCACCTCTGTATTATATTGCTTTGAAAAGCAAATGCATTGAGGTACATTTGCCTAAAGGTTTTGTCTAAGGCCCCTTTCACCATGCTGGCCCGATCAGGTCCGCCTAACAGTTTTTCAGGCGGACCTGATTGGACCATCCATAGACCCTATGGACTGGCGGCTGTCAGAGGACAAGTGACACCGCCAGCATCTGATCCAATCCTGTATGCCAAAAACGGATGGAGATCCGTTCCCCATCTGTTTGGCGGATTGGATCGGATGACAGTCGAGTGGAAACAGACAAGCGGCCTGTTTCCATCTGACCGCCACTTAGAAATCAGTGGGCTGTGTCTGTGTCTGCTCTGCAGTGGAGCAGACACTGACCTGTCATCCGCCTGATCAGTCGGGATCAGCAGAGAGATCTTCCGTTGAGCAGGCAGATCCGCTAATGGGTCCGACCCATCTGAAAGGGGCCTGTAAGTGCCAACATTTTGAAACTGGCAAATTGGACAGGAGGAAGAATGAGAAACTTGTCATACAAATATTTTTGTTTGTCTGGTATTGTAATAAACTAATCATGAAAATTTATTTTTTTCATTCAATTTCACAGCTTTAAACAGGCAAAATTTAATAAAGCACAACAAAGATGGCTAAAGGACAATGGAAAAACTGTAATCGAGAAATGAAAGATACATTCTTGTGCTGAACAAAACAAATAAGCCTGTTTTTATAGAAAGGAGAAAAAATTGGCCAAAAACGACAAAAATGTAGTAGCAAAGTGGAGAAAATAGCTGCTCAATGTTTCATAAATAGGTTTTCTGCATTATAGCTTACTGCATCTCTTAGATTCATTTATTTAACAATCCACAGAGCATTTAAACAACCTGAAATCATCTACATGACTGAGAAACGTTAGAGGAGATAATATGAGGAAGTCGAGGTAGCCAAAACTGTAACAAATTATGTTCTTCAGTGGCTATCAAACTGAAGAGTCCAGTGTCCTTTATTACAGCTGCTTGCTCAGCTTTCGCACTTGCCTCTCCCGGGCTTCAAATGCTATTTTGGTGTCCATCAGTTCATTGACGGAACGTTTGACTTCGGTAAGATCTCGTTCTGCTTGAGAAAATCGTTCAACCAGGTCTCTGTTCTCATTTCTTAGGTCTTCACAGAGTTGCTTCACCTCATCACTCTGTCGTTGGCATCGGACTCGTAGCGCTTCTGCCTCTGCTAGTAGGGTTTCGACTGTTCGGACCACCCCTTCTAACTGCTCCCGAGACATTTCTGAAACACAAACACAACGGTCTACAAAGTAACCTTAACTGGAGTATGTTTTCTATTGTATACTCTGTCATGGTAAATGTAGTTCATTTAGGGCAACCTATCTCAGCCTTTTTCCCCTCAAGAAACTCTTGGTAACAATTATATCTACAGCTCATAATACATTAGTATGACCAATAACTTTTGGATATAATAAAAAAAAATAATAATAGCAAATGCGATGTATTAAACACCCAAGGGGGATCAAGTCCTTGTACCCACAGAAAATGCTTTAATTACTGTGCCATGAGAAAAAGTCTAACAGACCTGTGCAAACCTCACCACAATCATTTTTAGAAAATGAAACTCTTCCATAACATATGTTTTCTGAACTCACAATTTTGAAAATGTTCTTTTTAATGGTTGAACTGGATGGATTTTTGTCTTTTTTTCAGCCAGACTAACTGTGTAACTATGGATATCATTTTACCCCTGTACAAACCATTAGTAACACCTCATCTGGAATATGCAGTTCAGTTTTGGGCACCAATTCACAAATAGAACATTGGGGAACTGGAGAAAGTACAGAGAAGGGCAACCAAACTGATAACAGGCATGGAGGAGCTCAGCTATGAGGAAAGATTAGAGGAACTGCATTTATTCTCTCTTGAGAAGAGGAGATTAAGGGGGTATGTGATCAACATGTATAAATACATCAGTGGTTCATCACAGAGGACAAGGGGGCACTCTTTATGTCTGGAGGAAAAGAAATTTAATCTCAAAACACGGAAACGTATCTTCACAGTGAGAGCTGTGAAAATGTGGAATAGACTCCCTCAAGAGTTGTTCTGGCCAGCTCAGTGGATTGCTTTAAAAAAGGCCTGGATTATTTCCTAGATACACAGAATATAACTGGATACTAACATTCATAGGTAAAGTTGATTAAGTGAATATCTGATTGCCTATCTGGAGATCAGGAAGGATTTTTTTTCCCCTGCAGTAGGATCATGCTTTGCTGGGTTTTTTTTTTGCCTTCCTCTGGACCAACTGTGAGTATAGGATTATAACTTTTTTTTTTAATGGTTGAACTGGATGGACTTTTGTATTTTTTCAGCCAGACTAACTATGTAACTATGTAACATCTTCAGCTCACCTCTGCTCTTCCCTTTTACTTCCCCCAGTCCACAGTACTACTCTGCACCCCTCATCCATAGCTCACCTTTGCCCCCCCCATCCACAGTGCACCTCTCCCCAGCTGTCTCCTTCCTTCCAGTAGCTGGATTGGTTCTTTTACCACCCGTACTGCACAGCTGCTGGCTTATCCACTTAAGCCCCATACACACAGGCCGAATATCAGATGAAATCAGCTGGTACAGTAGATACCGGCTGACATTTGGACTGTGTGTACAGGTCCTTGTTTGACAGAAGCCAATCTCATGGCCAGCTTCAGTTGAACAAGCTTGCTGGAAAACCAGCAGCCATTTGGCATCTCAGCAGCACTCTCAGCCAATATCTGCGAGGGCTGACCGGTGTGTTCTGGCAGTCCCCCTGTCAGAGCCCAATAGCTCAGCATGGAGATCGCTGTACTAATCGTTAGTGCAGCGACCTCTTCTAGAGCTCCTCAGGTTTTTTTTTTTTATTAAGCCCACTGGGCTGAACGAAAAAAAAAACTTACTGTGCATACCAAACTTTATGCATAGTCCACTGTCCTGTTGCACATTGCAGTGGGAGCTCCTCAGTGGATCACCACAAATTCTTTGCAGTAGCAAAGTAAGAACAGTGGACGGCAGTGCTCTGATTTGAAATAAATATGCTGATCTAGAAAGTCAGATAGAAATCAGAACTCATGATTTGCATGCTTGTTCCAGATCATTGTCAAAATACCAGACAGAGACTGCCTGGCAGCCAACATTTTCAGAAGGAGGTCAGCACTGTCAGCGTTTTTATTTTTTGACAACAAGCCTTCTTAAAGGGCAACACCTTTATTGTAGTCTTAATAACAAAGTTACATACATTCCCCCTTACTAAACTGACAAATACTTGATAGCCTATAGAAGCCATTTAGTAAATGGAACTATACTGAAAGACACATTTGCAAGGAGGGGGTCAACAATGGCAGTACACAATAAAATGAGGAGTTATACATTGCTAAATGGTTTAAATATGTCATATAGCCTTCTATTAAACTTGGCTGAGGATTAGGTCAACCAGTCCTGCCCTATAGAAATAGTCAAGATTACCCAGCATACATTGGTTCAAGATGATCACATTACCTGCCAGTGGTTAAGTATAGGAGTATTATACTGACAATGTTTTCAATATATATCTATTTGATTATATATGATTTTAATTACTGTCTGGACTATCTTTCATTTCCTTTAATTACATAATTATTAGATAAGAATGAATACATAAGTAAATGTTAATGATAAGTCTGCACATAAAGACACATTTATTTTGTAAAGCGCTGAGCAAACTGTTGGTGCTATATAAATCCTGTAGAATAATAATAATAATTTATCTCATCACTATGATACAGAATTCAGGGTCTGAAATAATATAAAATAGCAGGTTATTTAAGGTGAGGTATAGGCTGGGTCATCATTTAAACATACACTTGGTAGGGTATATAGGTACATTCACAAAGACAGACACACCTTGAAATAAAAATCAGGATGTATTGATTAATGTTCCCAGTCTTTGAATAGGAAAAAAAAACAAAAAAAACACAAATATTCACAGACTATTGCACCTTGAAAACCTTGGCATTTTCTATTCCCCACCCTTCCTTAGATTACTGGCATTTAACCAATTCGATCCAATCTTAAGAATCGCCAGATCTTGCGTAAAACTGAGTGACAAATCTGTCATGTAGCATTAAATTAATCACAAAGCATAAAGAAATTTAAACGCGGAACAGGCTGGGCTGAGTCTGTCCTAGCTTCTTATATGGCTTGGATATTTCAACAATGAGATCTCCCTGCTATAAGGCTAGGTTCACACCTATGCAGTTTGCGTTTGACCAGTTTCTGCATTGCGTTTTGCATTGTGTTTTGCATTTTTGCACCTGCGATTTTGCTGCATTTTTGCCATGGTTTTGATGTGTTTTGCATTTTTTTTCTTTGTTTTAGTGTTGCTAGGCTGATTTAAAATGCATCGAAAAACCAGGCAAAAACGCACTACATGCTTTTCTGCAGCGTTTCTACTGAAGTCTATAAAACCAAAAACGCAACTGTTTGCGTTCAAAAAAGTCCCTGACCCTTTCCAAATAATGCACCGGGTGAAAATGCGGAGCTGTGAACATTTCCCATAGGAAATCATGATAAATGGACCGTAGTGCGTTTCTGCAAAACACTGCAAAATGCTTAGGTGTTAACCTAGGGTGATTCCTAACCTTGTTCACACCTGCCATTCCTTGTACCTGCTATTTCAATTCATCTTAATATATATATATATATATATATATATATATATAAACAAGGGACAGACCCCCCCTTTAATGGACACAGCAGGTGTGTAGACTCAGGAACTTAAATGCACTGACAGTATTTCAGAGATAAAAGAAACTGTGTGAATTAAATCTCCAGCCTTCACCAAAAATTTAAATGTTACCAGCCCTTTAAAAAATAGGCAGGCTACTATTAGAGTTTATGAGAAATATATATACCTAGTTTGTATGTTCTCCCTGTGCCTGCGTGGGTCTCCTCCAGGTACTCCAGTTTCCTTCTACACTCCAAAGACATGCCGGTAGGACACCTGTCTAAATTGGCCCTAGTATGTAAATGTATGAATGTGAGTTAGGGACCTTAGTACACTCCTCCAGGGTTAGGAACTGATGTGAATGTAATATATATATATATATATATATATATATATATATATATATATATATATATATATATGGCGCTGCCTAAATTTACAGTACTACATAAGTACCTGTAATATATAATAAATAAAATAAATACTATATGTAACTTCCTAAATGTTTGGGTCTTGGAATAATTGTCAAGAGCAAGGATATTGCCATGTTTTTTTTATTAAAACAAATCTGTCACAAATGTCATTAGATCATAGATAATAGTAAGCACTGAAATAATGCATATTTTAATATATGGTAACACAGGTACCTTTTATTTAAATTCCCAACTCTATTCTCAGCATCGTTTTTTTTTTTGCCTTTTTTTCTTAAAATTTGTATTACCTATTACTTTTTTGTTGTAATTGTGTACTATCTTTTGAAAATGAAAATAAAGAAATAATGCCAACTGAGAATGTATGTATCATATTTAGGGTAATTGTTCTACCATAATATGGAATTATTGTACAACACAAAAAAAAGACTATTAAAAAAGAAAGCTGATTGCTGTAGGGTAGTATAGGTTGTATATTAACATTGCTCTTTTCACCGCCTCAAAAAATAGTGCTGAGGTGAAGTGTAATTTTAAAAAGCAAAATCTTGGCTTCTGTACCACAAAGCCTCGCTGTGGACATTGTGCGGGTACACAGAGAAAAAAAACAAACTGGTAAGGGAAAAACTTATCTGGAAAGCAATGAATATGCTGCACATTGGGAATAGTAGTGGTGTTAGATAGATTGGTATCATGTTTGTCTTTGGGGTAGAAAAAAGATGGTAAAATACAAGAATAGTTTGGTAGGGAGGAAGAATTTGGGGAGAATCTTACCGTAGAAACGGCTGCTTTGCTTCAGGTAGATGTTGAGTTGAGTTAATGGGTCCAGCGTGGTCAGTGTATGCCTCAACGGCTTCCTTGGTGATTTTTTTATAATGTGTACAATACTTCACCCTCTTTCTTGTCAGTTTCTGCTGATGTCACTCTTCTTACCTCATTCCTTCACCAATGACCTCTTTGCCTCTTCTCTTAATGTCATCAATTCTTTGTCACTATATGCATCATAGTTCTATTACCACCTTCTGTTTGCCCCTTTTCTCTCTTCCTTTGTCTTCTGCCCTTTGTCACAATCTCATTCTCTCCCCCATGTGATAATCTTTCCAGTAATCCTTCTCTTCTCATCCCAATCCCTGTAGATCCCCAGCTGTTTCTTACGTGGAGGTGATCGTCATGTTAATCCTGCTCACGCCATCTTGTGTTTGTTACTTGGCCTTCTATCTGCTTATGTCTTCAGAGACTTCAGCTTTGTTGCTGTCATACACAATTATATTGTCTTACTATTATAACAGACCTAGTTAAGTGGCCAATCAGAAAGAAGTGATTATCTAAAGGTGTGTGTGTGTTTCCACAGTTGACATACTGTACATGTACATATTAGAGGTTTTGAGATTCAAGACCAAAGCTTTGCCACCACTGTATATGTACAGATATGCATAATCAGTCTTTATTAAAAATCACCAGTGCATTGTTAGTAAAACTATTGCCAAAGTAAAGTATCTCAACCTTGCCAAAGAAGAAACACACATATAAAACTATGGGCTTCCTATGAGGTTTAGTTGCATACCCTACCAATCTTGTAAATAAACAGGTCCTAAGTGCTCAAAAACACCTACTAAGTGCTCTGGTTTATGAATTGCAGTTGGCAAAAGTTCTCCCTGGTGGAAGGAAATAAAACACTGCAGGAAGAATCCTGGAGAAAATGAGCTCCTTATTTAATGCCTTAGGGTCTTTTCACAGGGGTGTTCCGGTTTTTTTCTTCAGGTCAGTCACATTTTTTTCAAAGAAAAAACAGATGAGTTTACATCCGTTTTTTCATCCGTTTGCAGCCCTTTTTTTCATCTGTTTTTCATCCGTTTTCATCCCATTTTTTCATCCATTTACATTGGTTTACATCAGTTTTTCATCCATTTACATTGGTTTACATCCGTTTTTCATCCATTTAGATCCATTTACATCAGTTTTTCATCCGTTTACATCAGTTTTCATCTGTTTATATCCGTTTTAGTTTGTTTACATCCGTTGACATCCGTTTTTCATCCGTTCTGGGTTTTTTTGCAGAAGAAAAGTAGGGTCTTCTTCCGCTCAAAAAAACTGATGTTACCGGATGTGGACATTAACGAATGTTAAAAGATGTTCATCTGTTTACATCCGCAAGTCCATAGACATACACGGGGGTCCGTTTTTCATCCGTAAATGGACAGATGAAAATCGGACATACGGAAAGACTGTGTGAAAGGGGCCTTAATGTGTAGTGTCCCTATCTTTGCAATTGCAGGGAATGGCTGGCAAATGTTGAGCCGTATCCTCAACACCAATTAACACTATCCAGGGCTACTGTACTCTGCTGAATTCTCAGTAATATAGAATAATTCTAACAAACCCAATATAGACCAGAGGCTTCAACACAGAGACTGCCATGACAAATTTGATAATCTCTGGGACCCATGGCTAGATACCCCAGGTGTTGGTCCACTTAACTTAGTTACTGTCAGGATCAGGGGCGGACTGACAACTCATGGGGCCCCCGGGCAATAGGGGATCATGGGACCCATGTGTCCTTGCCTAAATTCAAAAAAGCCTATAAAAAGGTACCAGGGGCATCTCATGGGGCCCCCTACTGACCCCGGGCCCTCGGGCAGTGCCCGAGTTTTCAAATGGTCAGTCCGCCCCTGGTCAGGATTCTTTAAGGACAGTGTGCAGATTTGAAGCCTTGAGTAATTCTTCTGCATGGTGTAACTGTACCAGCATGATAATCTGTGTGACTAATGTTACACATGTGTTATTGTGCACTCTGTAGCTATACCATTGGAAGTTCTGTGTACCCATACATTCATCACTGTATGCTCTCTGGTCTGGAAATTGTATCCTTTCTTTAACAAACACCTTTTCTAATTAAAAAATCATATATTCACTCACCGGCCTCTTTATTAAATACACCTGTTCAATTACTTGGTAACACAAATTGTACATCAGCCAATCACATGGCAGCAACTCAATGCATTTAGACATGTAAACGTGGTGAAGACGACTTGCTGAAGTTCAAACCGAGCATCAGAATGGGGAAGAAAGGGGATTTAAGTGACTTTGAAAGTGGCACGGTTATTGGTGCCAGACGGGCTGGTCTGAGTACAGGAGTACCTCGGTTTACAAATTTAATTTGTTCTGCAAGACTTTTTGTATTGCGAAAAATTTGACAACCGAAGTGCGATTTCCCATAGGAATGCATTGAAAACCAATTAATCCATTCCGGAGGTTGAAAAAAAATTATTTTATCTGTTCAAAACTTTTACTTTAAAGGCATAGTACTGTACAGGGACATGATTAAAAATTAATTTGTAAATGCATTGAAAGCCAATTAATCCATTCCAGAGGTCATAAAAAAGTCATAAAAAGTTTTATCTGTTCAAAGTTCTTTATAAAGTGCACTTTAAGGGCATAGTACTGTACAGGGACATGATTAAAAAACTATTTGTAAATGCATTGAAAACCAATTAATCTGCTCATATTGCGAAAAAAATTTGTAAACTGAGCCATTATTTTCAATGGATTTTCATTCGTAAACCAAAAAACCAAGGTACGCCTGTATTTCAAAAACTGCTGATCTACTGGGATTTTCACAAACAACCATCTCTAGGGTTCACAGAGAATGGTCCGAAAAAGAAAATATTCAGTGAGTGGCAGTTGTGTGGATGAAAATGCCTTGTTGATGTCAGAGGTCTTAAGAGAATGGGCAGACTGGTTTGAGATAATAGAAAGGCAACAGTAACTCAAATAACCACTCGGTACAACTAAAGTCTGCAGAATACCATCTCTGAATGCACAACACGTCAAACCTTGAAGCAGATGGACTACAGCAGCAGAAGACCACACTGAGTGCCACTCCTGTCAGCTAAGAACAGGAATAGGAGGCTACAATTTGTACAGGCTCACCAAAATTGGACAATAGAAGACTGGAAAATACGTTGCTTAGTCTGATCAGTCTTGATTTCAGCTGCAACATTCATACAGGCGATCGGACCAGACGTGGGAGCGGGTACCTGTCAAATTTGGGTACCCGCTCCCCCCCGCCCCCCAAAGGAGCCAATCCTTAATGAGGAGCGGGGAAGCAGTCCTTAAAGCGGAACTTCCCCTTTTGGGTGGAGCTCTGCTTTAAAAGCTTGGGATATTTTTTATAAGCTAACCCTGCTTTAACACCTTCATGTCTAAGGGTAAAACAAAACTTAAAGCCTAAGTAAGATTTTACAACTTTGACATGTGTTAGTAAAACCGTACGTATCATCACAACTACTTGGCTGCTTCTCTGATTAATGTTCTCCTTGCCTGGCCTGTCAGTTTAGGTGGACGGCCATGCTGTTGTGCCCATACTCTTTCCATTTATGGATGATGAATTGAACAGTGCTCCATGAGATGTTCAAAGCTTGGGATATTTTTTAATAATCTAACCCTTCAAACATCTCCACAACTTTATCCCTGACCTGTCTGGTTTGTTCCTTGGCCTTCATGATGCTGTTTGTTCACTAATGTTCTTTAACAAACCTCTGAGGGCTTCACGGAACAGCTGTATTTATACTGAGATTAAATTACACACAGGTGGACTAATTTACTAATTAGGTGACTTCTGAAGGCAATTGGTTCCACTAGATTTTAGTTAGGGGTATCAGAGTTAAGGAGGCTGAATACAAATGCACACCATACTTTTCAGATATTTATTTGTAAATACATTTCGAAAACCATTTATCATTTTCTTTCCACTTCACAATTATGTGCCACTTTATGTTGGTCTATCACATAAAATCCAAATAAAATACATTTACGTTTTTGGTTGTAACATGATAAAATGTGGAAAATTTCAAGGGGTATGAATACTTTTTCAAGGCTCTGTATACTTACTTGCTGTGTGCAGTGCTCTTGCACAGAGCACTCTCGAGCCTCCTCTCCAGTGTCCTGCAGAATAGTAGCAGCCACATGTTGAAGAATAGTCATGTGGAACTTGTATGCTGAATTGCAGAACTTAAGAACAGTGCACCTGGAACTACATTTTGTAGAGGAGCTTGCGTTTTGGCGGGGGCATATACAGTTGCAAGAAAAAGTATGTGAACCCCTTGGGATTACGTGGAGTTTCGCATGAATTAGACATAAAATGTGCTCTGAATGTCATCTAAGGCACAACAATAGAAGAACACAGTCTGCTGAACATAATACTACACAAACATTAGATATTGCCATGGTTTAATTGCACATAACATGTAAACATTCACAGTGCAGGGAGGAAAAAGTATGTGAGGCCCTAGCTTTATGACTTCTCCCAGAGCTAATTGGAGCCAGGAGTGAGCCAACCTTGACTCCAATCAGTGTGATGATATTGGATGTGTTGCTGACAGCTGTCCTGCCCTTAAAAAACACACACCTGCTTTGGGTTTACTGGTTTCAAGAAGCACTGTCTGATGTGAACCATGCCTCACAGAAAAGAACTCTCAGAAGACCTACGATCAAGAATTGTTGACTTGCATGAAGCTGGAAAGGGTTACAAAAGTATCTCCAAAAGCCTTGATGTTCATGTGTCCACGGTAAGACAGGCTGTCTACAAATGGAGAAAGTTTAGCACTGTTGCTACTCTCCCTAGGTGAGGTCGTCCTGTAAAAATGACTGCAAGAGCACAGCGCAGAATGCTGCATGAGGTAAAGAAGAGTCCCAGAGTGTCAGCTAAAGACCTACAGAAATCTCTGGCACATGCTAACATTTTTGTTGACACATCTACAATAAGGAAAACATTAAACAAGAATGGAGTACATGGGAGGACACCATGGAGGAAGCCATTGCTGTCCAAAAAGAATATTGCAGCACGTTTGAAGTTTGCAAAAG